CTATCACCACCCACCGCCAACTCTTGGGCTACTCTTTACCAATGAATAGTGGGATTGATCGTCACATTATAACGCCCCCACGGCTGAAAGGGCGAGCATGTTTGGTGTGAAGGGGATTCGAACCCGCGACCCTCAGATTGCGAGTCGAGTGCCCTAACAACCAGGCCATGCCGGGCTGAGATTATATAACTACTAGAGAATTACACGATATTTAGATATCATATGTATACGAACTGCATTAGGAAGGTCTTCCAGACTGAGTTCTTATAGTTCGGTGAATGATATCCACTCTTCTTACCGACCCAAAATAATCATACGAGTTTTTAAACCGCTAGGGAAGATGAACTTGGATGGGACCAGAATGAAGTTTGCGGGTGCACGGCTCATTCCAGCCACCCCATTAGCGCCGACCCTGGAGAGAATTCAAGTTTGTGTATAACTATAACGTTTAAGTTGCAAGAGCAATTTGTACTTATCGCAGAGCTAATAAGGCTATATGTCAGCCATCTACAGATTTGAATTACTGAGCAGAAGGAGGGCAGCTATCGCTCTATCACACACCATTTACGCTAAGCGATTGATTGTCACTCTTATAATGCATTCACTGCTTAAAACGTGGGGAATATTTTGTACGGATTCGAACGCGGCTAGCCATTTCTAACATCTATAATTGTATCAAACACACCGTTGGTGTGAACGTGCTTTGTAGTCACTATGAGAAAAAGCTATACACTGGATAGATAAAGTGAAAAAAAAGTGTTCTTAGGCACTATTCAGTTCTTCACATTATATAACCCCACAATTGCAATATAATAAATAAACTTGGTATTCTGAATATTGTATAATTTTGAAGTTTCAATTCAAGGGAGGTCCATTTCAATCTACACTTTGATGAATGTGTCTTATTTGGTTCTACTAGCTTCGGAGAATTCCACTCCTCATCAGTAACCCTGAACGCAAGTTAACCAAAGAGAGATAAGCTGGACCTATATCATAGTGAAAAGTATCAAACATACTGTTGGTGTGAATGTACCGAAACTAGTATAACCCAATAACACACGTTAATCAAAGTGTAGATTGAACTGGACCTCCCTTGAACTTAGACTTCGAAATTAAACAATTTTCGGAATACTAAGTTTATTTATTTTATCTATAATTGTAGGATAGAGCCAACTGACGTACGTTTTAAATAAAAGATTGGGGCTCTATTGATACCATGTAAACAGAAAAAAATACTCGTAATTTTAGTTTCTTCTAAAGTTGATACGCAGTAGCGACATCTCTAGATTTAAGATTAGCCAACTTAAAGTGTGATAATGCGACCTCAACTTTTGCAAAACGTTAGTTTGTTCTTTAGTTTTCCTCCCAGTGGTTTAGCGGTAAGATTGATAACTTTATATTGTTGCGTCAGCGAGGTCAC